GAGCAAAGGGAAGGAGGGGATGGGGCGGTGGCGATTGCGGGGATATACCGCGGGGTAGCGCACCCCCCAACCGCCGCAGCCCCCCCGGTGGTGCGCGAAGGCGATTGGATGCGGACGGGGGGAGGGGGGATTATTTGACCTTATTTGACGGGGGGCGCAGAGGGCGGCAAGGGGCGATGCGGGAGAAGTGGCACATGCCGTTGCCGTGGGGTCTTAGCTCTGTTGTACAGTAAATAAAGATGTCAGGGAGAACCGGGTTGCCGTGGAGATCGCGGCGCATGCGTAAACTTTATAAAAGCACGCGGGCCGCGCCGTGAATAAGGGGGGCGCGAGTCTCGACGGTTTGATATGGGGCGTTCCACCCGCGCCCACCCGCGCGAGTCTGCCGTAGAGATAGACTCGCGGCCGCGGGTACAGGGGCCGTACGGGCGGCGGGCGGCGGGCGGCAGGTGGGTAGGACAGGTAGGACACCGCCCTATCTTGAAATAAAGTCGCTCGATTCTCGCAGCGCGAGGGTAGCGGCGCGCTCCGCTCGAGGCGGGGGCGCGCGAGAGGGGGTGCGCGAGAGGGGGCGCGAGACGGGGGTGGCGAGACGGGCCGGCTGCAGGGCGGGTTCTCCCTGGTTGTAAATAAAGTGTTTTATCATACGCTGCAGGGCGGGTTGAAACAGGCGCGCGAGAAAGCACACGGCTGAGCGAGAGGCGTGGGTCGGTTTTGGCGACAGGTGACGACCGCGCAGCCACTGTACGCCCGCCTCGTGCAGCTGGGCGGCCCTCTCGAGATGGCGCTCCGCAGGCCCCACTGCGACATGGGTGCGACATGCACCGCGGCCGCCACCCTTTGCACGAAATTTTACTGCGATCGGTTCCGTGCGATGGGTTCCCCCTTCCTTGCGACCCCTGCGCTCGCTCCCCTGTGAAGACTTGAGAGAGTTGAGTTTTCAAGGGAACTACCCTAGGGGAGATGATTAGTAAGGATGAGTAACGAGTTGCCTCTTTCTGTTTTGGTGTAAGCGGGTTCTCGTGCGGCCCCCTCCTCAGCGCTCAGCGCGGATGTCAATAACGATGCGCAGTAAATTTACTCGATGCACCTGTTTGAGGACCGTGTCTAGTGTTTAAAGTTTAAACACTAAACAATCGTATCATGCAAGGGTTTATCCATTGGGAGGGGCAAGCCCGGGCGGCCACGCGTTGTCGCAAATCGAAGTCCCTCCTCGTCACCCGCTGTCGCCACCCGCTGTCGGGACCCGCCGTGCCCTCCTCACCCGCCGTGCCGCCTCCTCACCCGCCGAAAGTCTAACACGCGTCGAATCAAACTGAACGAATGAATGCGCCAATGATTTTCCGCACTTTCTGCACAACCAACGAAAAGCGCCCCCCGTCCTGTCCTACACCGCCCTCCCCGTCCCGGAATCCCACAAAACCTTCCGTGCAATATGCGCCTCCCTGCCGAACAACAGTCCTGACGGGTACAGACCCGTCCTCCACCTGCCGCCGCGCATCATCCCATTCGCCGCTCCGCCCATCACCGCATCTAGTAACTAGATGCCTCCAGTCTCTACGCCCCTTCTCTCGCTTACCCGCATCCCAAACCCGCATCCCAAACCCGCATCCCAAACCTCGCTGCGCACCCTGCCACGCCAACAACTCTGTACTATACTGTGCAGTACCCCCCCCCCCCCACCCAGTCCGAGCGATCCGCCGTAACTGAGTACAATTATGCCCCTAAGTCCGA